AAGTAGGTAACATTTGAATTAATTAACTTAATGCAATAAGTAACATAGGTGATAAACTTTTCAAAGTAAACAAGGTAATGGTTTAATGCATAAACCGAGGCTTGCCTTTGTTGACGATCTCGGGTTCCGCATCAGTACCACAAATATCGAATCCCGAGACAACCAGGGATTCTTCCACAACTTGCTCAATTAGAATCGGTTCACTCTCGGATTCTACACAAAATAATAGCATATGCTTCAACACGATGATAATGTAAACATGATACTTTCATGGTGTATGAAATGTAATAACACCTTGAGTACAACTTTCCTTCACGGTACAGTTGCAAGCCAACAAAACCAACTTACAATTCTACCATCAAGGATCACACAAAAATGTTTACTAAGAAACCCTACATTCTTCTAAAGGACTACCCAAATTTTCACTTCAAAGTTCTACCCTTAATGAATGAAATCATTCATTAACTATACTCTAACCAAACTTTAATGATCTAGGGCTTATGACCTAAGTGACTTGACCAAATTGATCTTGAAACCCTACTGGTCACAAAACATGGTCAAAACAAGATCAAACCCTAATCCAACACCTAGGGTTTGCTTTTATTCATTTTTAAATTAATTGGGAATTAAGCTCAAAATGAACTTTTTCCAAATGACCTCAAAATTTTATGTAAGATTCCTGATGACAAATTAGTGTACCAAAATAAATTTCATAATTTTTGGAGTTATACAGTAGCCTACAAAAATTATGGAAATTGTATTTATCAATTAATTGACTGAATTTTTGAACATTAAAAATGTATTTAAATTTCAAGTTTCATATTTTTAAACCATAATAGAACATGTACAGAAGATACACACAAATTTTCAAAATTTTTGAAGCTGTAATTATTTTCCTATGATTTTCCAAAGTTGCTGCACTATTCAAAATCCAGAAAATAAAAATCTCCCTGTTCTCTCTCTTCTCTCACTGACAGGCAGGCCCCGCTCGTCAGTGACACAGAATAAGGCACACGGCGGCGCTACCAGCTCCGGCTAGCCAAACGCGCCGGCGGTGAGGCTCCGACGAGGCAGACCGCACCAGCATGATCTACACCACCCCGCGAACCCATCCCGACCCTCAGAACAGCAGCAGGCGCACCGGAGAAAGCTCTACGCCGGTAATGGCGGCCACGGTGGCGCGGACACGGCGGCACACGACGCAACTTCGGCTACGATGCGGTAGAGGTTAAAGCGAAGCGAGCATCACGCTCAGGAGCTCACCGCGAACACGACGGTGTGCCTGGTGAAGGCGGATACGGGCTGGAACGGCATGGCCACGGTGAGGTCAGTGGTGGCGGTGCTTCGGCCGGCTCCGAAGAAGAAGACGCCGTGGGTTGGCGCTGGACTGCTAGAGGCGAGGCGAGCAGGCCTGAAAGGAGCGGCACGGCGAGGCGGAGCTGCTGACAAACGCAATTGGCACGAGATGCCATGGTGAGGATGAATTTTGCGAGCGCGGCAAGGACACCGACGACGAGCAGTCGAAGGAAAAAGAAGAACGACGGCGGCGGGTGCTTCTATTTATAGAAGGGAAGGAGGCGTCCGGCTTTGACAGCTCCCGAACGAGATCGCCACGGAGACGACAGCGTGTCACCGCGCGAGAAAGCGGTGAAAAACGATAGGCGGCAAGTGGCTGCGTGGCACCGGCGGCAAGCAGGAGGTGGCGCTCGGCTTTGTTTTGATTTTTGAATTATTTACCGAATTGCCACTGAGTTCTTTTTGCAAATTACTCACAAATTTTCTAAAGAAGTTGAAAATCTCCAAAAATAAAAGTTGCTCCACTTTTCAAGCTCGACAACTTTGCTTTAATGAACATTTTCAAATTCTGCCTCTATTTTAAAATTTGAATTTGGGGTGTATTTGAGCATTTGAATCATTTCAAAATTACTCCAAATTTTATATGTAAACTTTAAAAACTTTGAATACCAAAGTTGATCCTTATAAAATAAGCTTCAACTTTGCTTTTTGTCACACCCCCAAATTCCAAATGGATTTTGAAATAGACAAAAGGGGCAAAAAGGACTTTTACGATTTGAATTTGAATTCCATTTGATTTGTTTACCTTTTTACTTAATTATGGTTTTTGACCAATTACATGGCTCATTAGGGTTATTTGAGTCAAATGACACATGGTCTCACATGATCACATGAAATTTGACCCTTGTGGTCATGATTTTCATTCAGAGTTTTGAATCACATTACATCACATAAAATAACAACTTATAAAATAAAGCTTATTTAGTGAATGCATTCAAAATTTCCTACTTTATGAATGCTTTGCAATGCATATGATGACCTGTCAAGTTTTAGTGCTAGGTCAAAACACCAGAGGTGTTACAGTCCCATGGTCCCGTTCGGCTGGCTGAATTTTGGCTGAAACTGGCTGAAAACACTGTTCTGGATGAATTGTTGTGAAAGAAAACACTGTTCTGGCTAAAAAAAGAAGCCGACGGCCACCAAACACCCGATCAGTACTTCATTCATCTCATAAAAAGATGGAAAATAGAGATAGGCCAGAACGACAAAATTAGAAGAGTATAAGAAAACATGACATGGTCAAGTTGAACATGGAACATACCCCTAGCCTTCCGGTACAACGTGCAAGTCTGCAAGCAAACCAGTACATGAAATAGTACCCCCAAAAACCCGACAATGCACTCGTTCAACGTCGAGGGCTCCACTAGCGCAGACAGACAAACCATCACCACGCGCTGCGCCCTGCTCCCATGACCCCCTCCACCCAGCGCCCATCCCGCTCTAAAGGCATCATGCTCATACGGAGCTCACACTGACGGGAGAGTCCCACGCCCATCGCCCATCCCTCGTTCGTATGGATGCCCTACCGGCTCCGAGAGAGACGATGCAGCAGAAGGTGGGAGGAGGAGAGATGCAATACCAGATCTACTTTTGAAACATCCAAATATAACGGTTGCAACATACGTCTGAAGGCAGTTGAAACACTTGAAACATACTTATGAAACACTTAAAACACACACATGAAACACACTATCATTGCAACCCAGAAGCAACATCCGAATAAAACACATGCAACATATGTGTGAAACATATGCAACATCCAGATAAATATAATTGCAAGTGCGTCTGGAAAACACTGATGAAACATACCTCTGAAACATCTGAAACACTCGAAACATACTATTGCAACATGCCTCTGAAAACAATTGCAACATATGCAACATCCCCGATCTATTTTTGCAACATCCATATGATTCAACTGCAACATACCTCTTAAACGTCTGAAACAATTAAAACATATAATTGCAACATAGGGGAGAGAGAGAGAGAGCCTGGCACGGGGAGCGCCATGGCCGCCGGATCTGCGGGCATTGGGGCTCGTGCCGGAGCAGGGTCGCGCTCGTCCCGGATTTGCGCCCACGCCAGGGTCGCCGCCGAGGTCACGCCCGTCCCCGCACAGGAGTTGAGGGCGGGGGTGGTCAGCTGGAGAAGAGGAAGGGGGTCGTCGAGGGTGGCCGCGTGGATCAGAGCTCGAGCTCACGCCAGGGACGCCGCCACATCGGAGCAGGAGGGAGAGGAAGGCAGCGGGGCACGCGGCTCGTGCGCCGCGCGTGAGGGCGGGGGCGCGGCTCGACAGAGGAGCGTTGCGGAGTGGGTGCGGAGATGCCGCGGTGGGGGAAGGAGCATGCGAGGAATGAGCGGGTGCGGAAATGAGCGGACGGAGGTGTCTGTCCGTCCGGTATGTATCATTATCGGAAAAAATGCCTTACGCTTTTTGTTTGTTTTGGATGATCATATGGCCATTTGAAATTAAAATAGAGATTTCTTTTCTTCCTTTTCGCGTCAGTGATGGGCATCTCCATATTTCGTTGCTGAAGACCACGAAATTATTAATACCGTCGGCACTGATCATAAGGCAAAATACTGCAGATTCGATAAAATAATAAGGTCAAGGTTCAACAACTCAGTTCAAAACCACATTCCTTTACAATGACCATTGGTTTCACAACTCAGCTCAAAAGGGAAACACACAAACGCTGCATCAGAACTAAAACTCCAGCCTTTAGGAGAAAGCTTGCAGCGACACACACCCACTCCAGAACTACCATCATATTTGTACTCCAGCAGTGACGAGTTTGGCACCACATCAGAGGATTCTTGCCCACTTGATATTACACAAGCTGTAGAGAAAACCAAGACTAAAATTAGCAGAATGTCGTATACTGATATTAAACACTATATCTATTTCTGGTACCAAAAAGGTGCCCAGCTCGTCTAGGCGAACATGCAGACTGATCAGAAACTAAAAAAAGAGCCATCCTTTATCCAGACTAGGTAGCTGAGTCGGGAATGGAAGTGTATTACCACATTGAAATATTGTTATGGGGCATCAATTAGGGGTCCAGGGGCCACAGGATCATAGTTTAATTATTTGCATTTGACAGCAAACTATATGATAAAAAACATGTGAAGGAATCCAGGGTGGGCCACAGGATCATAGTTTAATTATTTGCATTTGATCATCACACTTGTGCCTTGTTTATATGATTTGGCGTAGCTCCAAAAACATGTGAAGCTAAACAAGAATACCATGCCAATTAAGCTGTAGTCTAAATAAAAAAATAGCTGCTCCAAAACAACCTCTTTTGAATTAACACATTGAAATATATTTTTCCATACCCAGCAGTCATCAGAGAACACTAGTGTGTTTTTCGAAAACGGTAAACCCAAATTTCATTACCGAAGTAACGAAATTACAATGTCGACAATTTCATAGTAGCCAAATAAAAGCACCCACCCGCCAAACATCCATATATCTGATCACAGAGGGACCGGAAAATATGGAACTACCACATCCCCACAAAAGCCAAGGTTAATTGCTTCCCCAGAAGAGGCAAGCAACAAAAGTTTAACAATTTTGATGCATGGCCCATGCCTGAGATCACAGTACACAGGCTGGCTTCTACTGACACTAAACAACATGGTTATCTCCAAGGATCAAGAACACTAGTGTGTTGCCCAGAAGATATCTTGCATATTCGCATATCGTTTACCTTTGATCTTGTTACATCTTTTTGCTTAATGCAACTTCCTGAAGGGTCTGCGTTCTTCTTTATCCATGGATGTTTCATAATGTCTTCAAGACAAAGCCTCTTGCTTGAATCCTTAACTAGCAGCTGCATGCACAATCACACTTATAAATCAGTAGTCCAGCCCACACCCATCAATTTCGCTAATCTCTTATATAACCACTACTTTTAGATATCACCTTGGAAATGAGATCCTTAGCCTCTGAAGATACATAAGGAGTGGAAGGGAATGCCAAATCCACCTTAACTATCCTGCACAAAATTCATGTGGCACAAAATGTTAAGGAATGAAGACCAGGGAGAGAAAAAAAACAGATGTTTCTGCCTATACCTTCTCAAGGTATCATCCTGTTCATCAGCTTCGAAAGGAGGTGAACCATATAAGAACTCATAGCACAGGATTCCTAGTGTCCAGTTGTCCACAGCATGGTCATGAGCTTTTTTCTCTACCATCTCTGGTGCCAGATAATCGATTGTGCCACAGAGTGTGTGTCGTTTAGCATTTGAACGAGCTGCCCATCCAAAATCTGCAATTTTAAGCCGGCCCTGGAGAAAGAGGAAGTTAGCTATAGTTATCAAATCAACACCAAGCATTTGATGCATCAAGAGCAATACCCATCACGGCAATAGCAGTTCTTCAGAAATACTGAGGCATTGAAAAAACATTTGTATAGACATTTCTCCACATATGTTAGTGAACCGGCAATAATATGTTATATGTGTTTCCAGATTCATTCATAGAGGCATGATACCTGTCCAGGTGTGACTTGTATGCAAGATGAATTACCCTTACCCTTATTGAGATGTAGTGACAAATATCATCTGCTTCGTACATATATATACTATGCCTTGAGTTTTTCTTCTTTTTTATGATCAATGGGAGAGAATCCCCCTGATTCATTCATGCATTCCTTAGAGCTTATTGTAATCTCAGGTTCAGGAGTTTTGCAGCCAAAAAAAAAGGAAAGATCAAGCACATGGGCTACGTATTTGAAGTAAACGCTGAGCACCATGCCTCAATAGTAGCTAGATCATCTGTGCGGCAGTCTAACTTGATTTTCATATTTTAATGTTGTCTATATGAATTTCCTTCCTACTTCCTAGACAACATTTCAGTTTTTGACACTTACAAAGAGAGTCTTACAGTCTGCATTGTTTACATAAACAGTGAAATACTTTTATAATGTAGACTTAAGAGGGGCAAACATTTAGAGAAAGAATTTTGAACCTATGCAATCAGCTGTAGATTGGATTCTTGAGCAAACTTAAAGCAATGGTTCTATTAGATCCTATTATATGCAGAAACTAGAGTACTAGACCACTAGCCTATTAAAATTATAATAAAATGGTGCAAAAACTATGGGCCCTACCCTGGAGCAAAGTATTTTACAGTAATGATTATGTTAGAATCCATTTTGTGTAGAATAAGACTGTCTAGTAATAAAAATTACAGCAACATAAAAAACAGTAAAAGTACAAAGACATGCACAGATCAATTTGCTTGCAACAATAAATAAAAACAGAATAAATGCATAAATCAAATATAGTGCTAGAAATAATAACAGCAGCAATAACTTCATAAAGAAGAACCAACCTCGATGTCTAGTAGCAAATTCTCAGGCTTGATGTCCCTATGGATGACTTGCTTCTTGTGACAGTATCCCAATGCACCAGCAAGGCTCGCGACATACTAAAGCACATAAGAATCATTGGTGTCACAATCTAACAAAAGAATGCCAAATAGAAGGAAACCTGCATCTGTATATCATGCTCTATGGTGTGGTGTGGCAATGCCAGCACAAGCTTTGCCATTAATGGCATCATCACAAGTTGAGACTAAGATAGTGTCACGCTAAAAGAGATACCATGAATTCTCGCTATGTTTTGTGTGTATGGGTTCACGACTTCAGGGGAATAAAGTCATAAACTGCAGAGTGCACTGCATGTGCGACACATCGGTAGCAGTTCATATAAACATTTGGTTCAGCTTAACTTGTAAAATGGGATTGATCCTTTGCCTTGCATTCCTAGGAAATGCATTGGAGTTTCTAAAGAATACTTAATACGGCAATCAGATAAGGCAAAGATCCATAAAATCCAAAGATCATTTTGAAAGATTATTAAACGGCACTAAAATTTCCAAATATCAAATTATTTTCAATGTCAACTGCCTTTTAATAATCTGTAACTTTAACTTGTAACCATTGCACACAATGTACCAGCAATCAATGACTCATTCTGTCATACATGATATTGATTCCATAAAAAATCAAGTTAGGCATTACTCAAAACTTTCTTGCTACCATTCATGACTTGAGTAGAAGTACATACAATTGCCAACCAAAGACCTACTCGGCTCACGGTCTAGCTGCCTAGTTCTCTGGAACTTTGTTTGTACAGGTGTCTCTCTCCCTTCGGTCCACCCCCCCAGCCCCAAAAAAAAAACACATCACACAGTTGCTGTCACATGAGACTTTACCTCGGTTATTATGGTTCAAGATAACAACAGGAGGAGGAATGGCAATCCAACCGTAGGCACAACCGGGAAATAACAGCTAAGCAAAGAGGAAACGGGAAGGGAGTATTTACTGTGGCGGCCGTGCGCTCGGTGAAGCGGCCAGCAGCGCGAAGGACCTTGTAGAGCTCGCCACGGGCCGCGTACTCGAGGACGAGGACGACTCGCTCTTCGTCGTGGAACCAGACGAAGAGGCGGAGCACGTTGGGGTGGTCGAGACTGTGCTGGATCTCGATCTCCCGCCGCAGGTGCGCGTGGAAGCGGTACTTCTCCAGTTTCGCCTTAAATATCACCTTGAGCGCCACCACGTACCCGCTCTGGATCATCACCACGCGTAGATTAACTTCCATGTATAGAGGCGAAATTTTGGGGTGATCGAGAGAATAGGAGGGTACAAGTTGATTGCGCCGACCTGCTTCTCGCGGGCGAGGTAGACCTTGCCGAACTTGCCCTCACCGATGTACTTGCCGATCTCGAAGTCGGACATGCTCCACTCCTCACGCGTCGGCATCGTAGGCGGGAGCGGCAAATGGTGGGGCGAGATTCGCGAGAACGAGGGGCGAGGTGCGAGTTGAAGGAGACGGCGACGGGTTGCGTCGAGGAGCGGAGAAGGGGATGGAATGGAACGGAGAACGGGTTTGGAATTTGAAATGGAGAGCGGCGGCCGTCGGGTCAGTACCGTACTACCGTTTGATTGGGATCGCGAACTGCCGGAAGTGGGGGAGGGAGAGAGAGAGCGGGCCTCCAATATTGGCTTTGCAGTCTGGTTCACTGTACAACTTCGGCCCATTATCTTACAATCTCGACATCTGCATAGACACCGCGCGGACACTGGGTCACTGGCCCAGCGGTAAACAGGCCATTTAGCGCTCGCACGGGTCAAATCATCGATGAGCCAAGAGAGTATAGATTTTTTTGGTGGGTCCCATAATGATTTGATGGCTTCTGATGTTGGGTCTTTTACTTGTATGCTATTAAAAAAGATGGTCTAATCGTCTATGTCCCTAAAAAGTTCGATCTATCGTCAGTGTTCAAGCTCGAAAAACTTTTCTCTCTCACGCCATTCTGTCCGCCTTCTGTTTGATTTGCGCCGTTTGGTTGTCCTGACGAGTGGGGTCCGCTGTGGCAAATGACCTCAGTTGTCCCTTGCCGTTGGAATTAGAGGTGGAGGTCGTGTTGACCGGTATTGACCGCTCTCACTCTCCTCATCTGGCTCGACTCCTCCGCTCCCTCCGCTCGACTCCGCTCCCTCCTCTATCCCATCACCGAAACCCAAACCCTAGCAACGATTGTGGGCGGTGGCATCGGGCGACTGAGCATCAGCGGGCTGCGGCGGCTGAGAGGAGACAAGAATCCCATCCCTAGTTGCGGCGGGGCATGGGATAGTGGAGCAAGGGATGTACCGTGGGCAGCCCGGATTGGCGGCGCATGGCGCGAACATGGCGGCGGCCGAGCGCCCTTCATGGTTTTGAGACGGGTGAGTTCCTCTTCTCCTTCGCTTGCTTGTTCGTGGTGATTGTGGAGAGCTAGGATTGTTGTTGCTTGCTCTTGCTAGTTTGTTTCCCCCTTTGTGATTGTTGTTGTTCATCTGTAGGATGGACCCAATTAGTAGCTACAATCTAGAGTTTCGGATTATTACTGAAAATATGCGTGGGGGGAAGTGGTATGGCGTGAGTGAAGTTGTGGATGTTGATCGTGCAAACTATAGAAATGTGGTTGAAGGTATTTTGGATAAGTATCCTGGGCGCTATGGGGATACTTACAGTGTGTTTTACTGGTGCCATGACACAAAGATGAACATCCCCCTCACCAATGACCATGACTTAGTTGAAATGTTTGCCAAAAATAAAGCTTCCAAGTGTTGTTGGATGAGTTTAGCCTACTATAAACCCAACACTTTGCCTCCTGTCATCCCTTCTTGGGATCCAATTACTGAGCAATCTATTGAACCACCCATCACTCCTTCAATGGTCACTCCTTCCATTGCCACTCCTTCCATTGTCTGTCCTTCCAATGCACCTCCTAGCATTGCAGAATCAACCGAGACACAGAGCACAGCATGTGCAGATGATGACATTCTGGCAAACCCAAACCCAGAGAATGAGCATATCGGTGTTGATGATGAAGGTTTGTACCTTGACCTTCCACCACCTCCAAAGCCACAGCAACCAACACCTCCAGAAGATCAGATCCAAACTGCCACCACTGAAAGGTGTCCAAGTCCAAAGCTAGCTGAATCTAAAACTGAGAGTGATAGTCCAAAGCCAGCTGAATCTAAAACTGAGAGTGATGCTAGTTCAGGGTCTGATGATGAGTTTGATCCTGAAATGGACCCTGATGAGGCAGATGAAATGGTTAAGGACCATGAGCCTGACTACATGGCACCTCTTGAGTATGACAAAAAGAACCCCCCATGTGTGTTGGAAGCATGTATCCAAACATGTTTGAATTTAATATGGCTTTAGCTACTCATGCTGCAATAGAAGAGAATCGATATTTCATTCAGAAGAGTGATATAGGAAGGTACCGAGTGTACTGCCTCTGGAGGAATGAAGGTTGCCCTTGGAGAATCCATGCATCAACCATGAGGGATGGCAAAACAATTCAGGTGATTTCCTCTTCTAAGTTCTAATTGGTGCTTCCATTGTTATATATTCAAACTTGGTGTTTTCATTGATGTTTGCATGTTGTTTTCATTGGCAGGTTAAGAAGAATCCATCTATCCATGAATGTCAGAGCCAGAAGAGGACTGGTGTTCTTGTAGGTTACACCAAGTATTGGGTTTGTGAGAGAGTTATTGACTGGCTGAAAGAAGATGAGACTTTGGGTACTACTGAGTTGATTAAGAAACTCAAGGATCATTTCAAAGTGGAGATGCCCTACATGAGAGTGTACTATGGTAAGAACCTTGCTATGGACAAGCTTTATGGGCCATGGGACAAGAGTTTTGACAACCTGTACAGATTCAAGGCACAGATAGAGAGTGAGAGTCCTAGGTTAATGGTTGTGATTGATAACCACATAATAAACAACAAGCTCAGGTTCAACAGGCTTTTTTTCAATGAAGGCTTGTGTTGATGGATTCCTTAGTGGTTGTAGGCCCTATTTGGCAATAGATAGCACTTTCTTGTATGGTAGGTTCAGGGGCCAGTTGTGCATAGCATGTGCAGTTGATGAGCACAACTGGATGTATCCGGTTGCTGTAGGTGTCATAGATTCAGAAACCAATGAGAACTGGGTGTGGTTTATGGAGAGGCTGAAAGAAGCAATAGGCACCCCAGATGGTCTCTACATAAGCACAGACTGTGGACAGGCAGTGATGCATGGGGTCAGTGAGGTTTTTCCAGAAGCAGAACATAGAGAGTGCATGTACCACCTTGTACATAATTTTAAGAAGAGATACAATGGCAAAAATTTTTATGATCATCTTTGAGCAGCTTCTTATTCTTGGTCTGAGTACTGGTTTGACATCCATTATAATGCAATGGCTAAAGCCAAACCAGAGGCTATGAAGTATCTGTTACAGACTCACAAGAAGTTGTGGGCTAGGAGCCAGTACCTATTTGGCAGCAAGGTTGACTATGTAACAAACAACTTGGCAGAGTCCTTCAACAAGTGGATAAAGAAAGACAAAGGCAACCACCTTGATGACTTGCTGGATACTTTTAGGCAGAAGTTGTTGATTAAATGGAATATGAGGAAAAAAGTTGCAAACAAGTTTGAAGGGAAGATCCTACCTCACATTGTTAAGAAGTTGAGGGAGGATAGCTACAACTTAGACATTGATGTCATTACTGAAAGTGATGGAGTTGCAGAAGTATGTGCCAAGGGGAAGAGTGACAATGCATTCAGGTTTGTGGTGAACTTAAGACAGAGGACATGTGTATGCAGAGTGTGGCAAGGGACTGGATTACCTTGTAGGCATGCTATTGCCTAGATCACCTCAATTCCAGGAGCAAAGCTAGAGGACTATGTAGATGACTGCTACTCAGTTGAGAAGTTTAGAGCTGCATATGGAGGTGTGATCCCATCCATTCCAGACAAGTCCTTGTGGCCCAAAGCCACACATGGATTTTTTATGCACCCTCCTCTATTGAAGTCCACAGCTGGAAGAAGCAAGAACAGACACAAAGGAGCACTAGAAGGAGGTAGCAGGAAGAAGATAAAGAGGCATGAGTGCCCTATATGTCATCAGTTAGGGCACCACTGGTACACCTGCAAAAATGGTGATCCAGCAGACATAGCTGCAGTGGAACAGCAAAGGTAAACATCATGACTTGTTTCATCAAGCTCTTTCATCACATTGTAATATTGGCTAACTTTTGCTTCATGTTGCCTGCAGGGGTCTCCCAAAGAAGAGGCAGAAGAAAGCAGCTTTAGCCAACACAGAGACAAGCATTGTTGTTGCTAGACAACCTGTTGGGATGGTTTACCCACCAAATGAGGTTGTGGATAATGCAGTACCCCAGAAAAGGAAGAGGAAGACTTCATCTGCATCAAGTGTCAAGAAAAGCAAGGCCTCATCTACAAGTGCATCAGCTTCAACTGGCAGGTATGGTTGTATGCATCTTTTTCATTTCATCTTTTTTATTTCATCTTTTTCATTTCATTGGTACTACTTTGTGACTGTTTGTTTACTTCATGAAGATCTGGAACTGGATCCAATGAACCTGTTCCTCTCCAAGCAACAGGCAGTGCCACAGTGATGGCACCGCTGAAGGAGCAGGAGTCTGTCCAGGTTGCCAGTCCTCTAAGGAAGAAAAATGCTGTCAAGAAGAAGCTTACACCAAGGAAGGATGTATGCCGGGTTGCAGCTGACCCTTCTAGCCCAGCTGCAAATACCAGAGGCAAGAAGAACCTACAGCTTGGTTAAAGCACAGGTGACTCCTCAATGGCCTTTTGCTTGGTAAACCTGAGAACATGTTGGTGATGAAAACTTGTCTTTTTGTGGGTTGAAAACTTGGTTAAAGCACAGGTTTTTGCTTTGTTGAAAACCTAAGACAATGTTTGTGATGTGATGATTTCCTGTGATGTAATGTTGGTGAAATGAACTAAACTGAACAATGTTGGTGATGATTTCCTTTGATTTCCTGTGATGTTATGTAATGTTTGGACAAGTTAATGCTAGTTTCATCCAGTTTGGACTAATTTGATGTTGTTGATGTCATTTTGGTTCATGGTTAAGCATTGTTGTGGTCTAAAATGCTATTGCAACCTTTATTCATTGATTGTTCATCCATACATGCATAAACATACAATGGCAAACACACACACCTACTTCTTCATTATTGCATAAATGGCAAGAAATATTGCAAGATAGACCAGCTTCTCAATCCATTTAAGCTGCTGCATAACCCCATCTGCCCTGTCTTGAACTCCACCTCTGCCAGCAGCCTGGAAAGCTTCATTCATGTTGGCCACTTGAGCTGAAGCTATTGTAGGTGCTGCCGCCACTGCCTGCATAGCCACTGGATCTATTGCCTGTATAGGCAAAGGAGTAGCATAGCCAGC